GATTTGCACCATTACGTCTCCCGAAAAGGTCTTTTATTTTTTTAAAAAGTCCATAAAATTTGCTTGCGGTTTAAGATTTGTATTCCTGCCTTTTGCACCATAGCACGTATCTCGTTATTTTCAGGCCAGTGTGAACGCCTGAGCAGAGCAGGGGTCTTGTTTTAATTAATTTGTCATGTATACAAATACAATACAAATGAAACTAACTACTGTACGTTGATAACGAATTACAGAACAAAGGTGTGACAGAAGACAGTAACATGACGAAGTCCCAACTGACAACTGCCCCCGTACAAAAGAGATAAGCAATTGCATTAAAATACAATAAGACTACTATTATAGTGGCGTGTAGTAGGCAATTTGCTGCGTCCCGATATCGTTCACTTTCATTTCACATGTCTTGGAAATGAAATATTTTTACGGGAGCTAACACTTTCGAACACGCTGCAGAGTAGACCCGCAGTTTTCTCACAAAGTGCTATTTTATTACTCGAGCTCAGCTCGAGTTATAGTTTCGGTCGGTTTTTGTATCTGCGGAGCAGATACTATGCCATCGTGCGAGTAAGTGGGTGACACCAATCGGCAACGAGCTTACAAATTTACGATGATGTAATTGTTCACCATTTAGCGACGAGGTTAGATATACATTGTTGTACAAAAATAATCCAAGATGGCGGCTAACAAGAAATTGAAGAAAATTCATTAATAGACATTATTATTTATTTAAAAAATTCCTGGTTTCTGATTGGCTAACAGCGAACTGTGAAATTGTCATATCAACTCAATGGCTAACCAAATATGGATTTTTCACATTCATATTAGCAAAACGATGTCAAAGAGTCGATATGAAAAAAATTTGGACGCGTTTGCGCCATATTACTATGAAGACAAGAATCATATTAACTCGCTGACGCCATTGATATGACGACGACGGCTGCCGAAGGACTAAGGAATTGTTTTTTCAGTACAATATTCAATACAAATGGCTTCTACAAATGGCTTCTACAAATGGCTTCTTCGGGTCCGAATACCGAGGGTCCGAATACCCTTCGGACTGATGAATGCTCTAGCGAACTTCCAGCGTTTTATGGAGAACGCCCTCGGAGATCTCAGAGACGATATATGTATTCCTTATTTGGATGACATTATTGTGTTTTCAAATTCCTTTGCAGACCACATTGAGCATTTACGTAAAGTACTTCGAAGATTGCGAAGCCATGGAGTAAAATTAAAGCCATCAAAGTGCACTCTGTTCAAACGTGAGGTGTCCTTTTTAGGCAGAATCGTCTCACAGAATGGCTATCGTATGGACCCCAAAGCCACCAGTGCGGTGGAAGCCTGGAAGAACACTAAACCAGAACGGTTGGGGACATCAGAAAATTAATGGGATTCCTTGGTGTTTATCGTAGACATATCAAAAACTTTGCTCAAAAAGCAAAACCAATGTATGAGCTCTTGAAAGGACAATCTAGTTCAACCGGTCACGAGAAAGAAAAGGGAAATCAGCACTATCAGGAAAACGAAGCCAACTGTCATCGCGTACATCGGTGGAGTGGACTTTGAGGGGAGGTTACATCCCCTCCTATTCTAGCGTACCCGAATTATGCGTTTCCTTTCGTTGTTCACACCGACGCGTCACAGGAAGGCCTGGGGGCAGTCTTATATCAAGAGCAAAATGGAATCCTACGAGTTATCGCATATGCATCAAGAGCATTAAGCCCTTCCGAGAAAAATTACCATTTGCACTCAGGGAAGCTGGAATTTTTAGCCTTGAAATGGGCGGTAACAGAACACTTCCGAGACTACCTATATTATCCAAAGTTCCTGGTCTACACTGACAATAATCCCTTGACCTATGTCCTTACCACCGCGAAATTGAACAGTACGGGACTACGATGGGTTGGCGAATTAGCTGAATTCAATTTTGACATTCGATATAGCCCTGGTCGGATAAACACGGATGCGGACTGTCTCTCGAGACCACCCTTAGAGATACGCGAATATATGACAAGCTGTAGCGAAGAGATCTCTCTAGAAACCATCCAAGCGACTATTTCCTCTGTTCAAGCCCACGCAGCCGGTGATGTAGTTTGGTTGACAGCTGTAACGGACGAGACTAAAGAAATGGAAGCTGATGAGCTGTTCGAGAGTACAACGTCAAGCAGGCTGAAAGTAATCGACATCCTCAAAGGCCAGCAGGAAGATCCAACGATCAAACGTGTTCTACAGTTTTGTAAGCTGTGTCAAAAGCCGAAAGTAACTGATCTAACGAAAGTAACGCCGAGAACCGCCAAGTACGGAAGTTCTTAAATAAATGGAAACATTTACACATTGATAAGAAGACCGGTTTGCTGTATCATAATCAACAGCTGGTCCTGCCTCAGAAATTCAATCGGTTGGTTTACCGCGAATTACATGAAGAAATGGGAC